ACCGAGTGTCACCCGTCTGTGGCTGAAACACTCAATAGAGCCCTGCGAGAAGTCAACATCAGGTTTGGGCAACGCTTATCTGTGGATGATAATGTAGAAAAAAGTTCAGCTCCAAGTGTAACTTTCTATATTTTTTGTTTAATCTCAGATGGAATGGTTTACTGGAGCAGATCTCAGAGCAGCTGAGGAGCAGTAAGGCCTTGTTGTTAGTGTGGCAACGTTACAGGACATTGTACGGTCAGTGTGTGACGGCAGTCCAGAAGCAGGAAAAACATGCAGATCAGCTGCTCAAGAGTGCAACTGACAAGGAGATCACAGAGGAGGAGAACAACGCTTGGATGAAAGACTGCAATGTGAGTGGAGACAGAAACATTTGAGGGTTTTTTTTGTCTTCCCTGACTGCAGAATTTTTCAAATGCTTTCCGTTTGTGGCTGTTGGTATTATGCTTCTCAGTTTCTCGCCGGCTCCCTGACAAAGCTTCTCTCTGCTCTGCAGAATACCAAATTACACCCTGTCTTTTTGTCCCTTTGAACATTGTTGTGCTGCACATTCACTCAAAAGGCCGAACAAAGCAAGACCTCAACAGAAGAGACAGGCCCCTGATTTACGCTATGGGGGTCTACCGTTGTCATGCTGGGCCGGTGGAACTTGTTTCCTTAAGACCTCTAGCAGACCGTTACTTTGACTCAGAATCACTGAGACAAACTGCTGGTCTAGTGGCTGAGAATTCAGGCTTCTCTATGGCTTTGACAACTTAAAAGAAAAAAGCAATTTTAAGAATTCACCGCAGCCAAACAAATTTGTCATGCTCTGAGCAAGACCCCGTCTGTCTGCAGAGGCGGTAACTGTGTGGTAACGTCTGTGACTGTTTCTCTGTTGCAGGCCTGTCTTGGTGAACAGGCGTCTGTGCAGGAATCACTGCAGCAACTACAGGCTTTAGGGGAACAGCTGAAGAGCCAAGTGGACGCCGTTTCCTTCGCAGCCCTCCAGTCAGACCACCTGTCGCTCACGCATAGATTAGCAGCGCTGGAGCATGCCCTCCATAGGCAGCAGGAAGTACTGCAGGTAGGATAGTGGGGGTGTGAGTTTGGACAGAATGACATAGAAAGAAGCTTTTTTTTTTGCAGAAAATAAACGATGTATTTAGGGTGCACTTAAACCAGCCTGTGAAGAGTAAGGGACACTTTTTCCTACATAGACCAACCTGTGAAGAGTAAGGGACACTTTTCCTGTGATTCCCTTTGGTGTTTTTAAATAAACCCCAGAACATCTCGAGTGCAACAGGCTTTGGTTTCGTTTACTTATACCTCTCTTTCAAACAGATCAGAGGGAATTAAAAAAAATTGGATTTCTGAAAGCTATTATGGACATACACTTTTTTAAAATTTTTTAATCTATATTTTCTTATTCTGTTCATAGTCTGGGTCGCAGTCCTGTGACACTTTCAGGGAGCAGTTGGAAATACTGGTGTGTAATGCTAAGGAGGCTGAGGAGGTGCTGAAGGAGCCTGATTCACTCGGCTCACCTGAGCCCACCGTGGTTCAGTCACGTATGGACAAATTAAAGGTACTACTGTCGATTTGTCCGTGCAAAAACACGGCAGACTTTCTGGACCTGGCGTGGAATTTGCTCATATATTTTATCTCCCATTTTATTTCCCAGCTTCACCTACTCAAGTTGAGCAGTCTATCTCCCGACCTAGAACGCATTAACGAGTTGTTGTACAGACTTCCTGTCAGTGATCAAGATGTTAAACAGCTGCAGAGTCTGAACAGAGCCTGGGCTTCTCACTGCGCTCACCTCACCGAGAGGTTCAGGTATGTAGATTCAAAATGTTTATTCCATTTATGTACTTTTTGTTTTTTGGCACATTTACAATAAAAAATCTGCTCGATTCAATTGAATCAGTTTCCTTTTGCTTTAGTACCTGATACGTTTTCCAACTAGTTTTCCTTTGTCTCGCTTCAGTAAATTGCAAGCAGTGTTGCTTCAGCAGCAGAGCTTCCTCCAGAAGTGTGAGGCCTGGATGGACTTCCTGTCTCAGACCGAACAGAAGTTAGCTGATGAGATCTCAGGGAACTACCAAAGTCTGGTGGAGCAGCAGAGAGACCACGAGGTCTGAAGATATAAACATACATCTGTACTCTGGTTGTTCTTGTCCTATCAATCCCTGTTCCTGATGCACGTGTGTGTGTGTGTGTGTACTCTTAGTCATTTCAGGCAGAAATGTTCAGCCGGCAGCAGATCCTCTACTCGATCATCAGTGATGGTCACAGTATGTTGGACCAGGGACACGTGGATGACAGGTGAACACACAGACACTCTGTGTCACAGTTTGATTATGAACCTGTGATGAGCTGCGACTACACTGACGATCTGACTGTGTTTGAACCCACAGAGACGACTTCAGTGTGAAGCTGGCCTTGCTCTGCAATCAGTGGCAGTGCATTGTGAGGCGAGCTCAGCAGAGGAGAGGCATCATTGACAGCCTGGTCCGACAGTGGCAGAACTACAGGGAAATGGTTGAGAAGCTGCTGCGGTGGCTCCAGGAAGTGACCCATGACCCAGACGTCCAGCAGCCAGGAGAGGTAGTGGCTCTGCAGCAGGCCAGGAACCTGCTGGATCAACTGCATGTGAGTTACACTGATACAGAAGCAGCTTTCACATCTTAGGGGTCAAATCTTTGATTTATTTATGTATTGTAATCATCTTCCATTAATGTAAATTAAAAGGGAACTAGTGTCAGCATATTTAGTCATACTGACTAATTATTTCTTGGTAATTGTCATCTCATTTGTTTTAATTTCATAACCATTATTTCTTGGTAATTCTCATCTCATTTGTTTTAATTTCATAACCTAAAGGAAAATGTGATCCTATTTGAATTCTCTGAATCCTAATAAATGTGAACTCCTCACCCTTTACAACATATAGGCTCCCATAGTTAACCTCATCATCTTTCTCTCTCCCTCCCTGTGCTCCTCCAGCTGAGGGAGCGGGTTCTCCACAGGCAGCAAGGGAGCTACATCCTCACCGTGGAGGCCGGCAGGAGCCTGCTCCTGTCGGCTGACACCCGAGCTGAGTCCACCCTGCAGACGGAGCTGATGGAGATTCAGGAGAGGTGGAGACACGCCCACCATCGCCTGGACCAGCAGAGGAGGGAGCTCAATGGTTTACTGAAGGTTAGACTGGACACCAGCCACAATCCATTAGTATTTAATTTATTTCCCCACGAACTCCATTTTAATGCACACAAAATCAGTAATCCTCTTTGTTTTCAGTCTGTTTTTATCCTGTATTATGGCTGTATTTGTTACCAAAATATACCTACAAAATATAGCCCTGAGTCATTATTCAGTCTTTAAAAATATTTAATCTGTGCTCTCTGAAGCTCAATTCTTAACTTTTTAAACATGGCTGTGTTGACTCTCTTCATTGGATGTGGCTATTTGCATTGTACTTAGTGTTACATAAAGTAGGTTTCAAGCTGGTTGGACCATTGAGTCAGGATAGTAGCTGTGTCCTGACAGCAGCACAGGACAGATGTTTGTGTGTGGTGTGTTTGACATTAAGATTGTATGCAGCTATTAATGCCAATAACGTCCCTTAGTTTGATAAGATTTACAGTCTAAGGGTGTGTGTGTGTGTAGAATTGGGAACGATGTAAGAAGGGCATCGATGCATCCCTGGAGAAGCTGAGGGCCTTTAAGAGAAAGCTGTCTGTGTCGCTGCCTGATCATCATGAGGAGCTTCACTCAGAACAAATCAAATGCAAGGTGAGGAAAACACACATAAACACACACACAGATACAGTAAAATACCTGCTTTTGTCATGTGGATATTTTATCTGCCTGACATGAGTGTTTCATCTTAGATGAAACCCACTCTCCAGCTCTGAGTCAGTCCTGTATTGATGAACACATCTTTGTCATCCTCCTACATGTAATTTTACCTCTGTTTCATAAAAAAAACCTGCTGCTCATGGTTAAGTTACTGTTCTTGAAGTTTATTGCACAGGTAACATTTGACTTTGTGGCTAAAAAGAACAAACTCTGCTTTAATTTTCACTATTCATCACATTATAATCCTCTGCTGCTGCTTCTGTTGAAAGGGGGAGAGAGAGAGAGAGAGAGGGAGAGCAAGGAAGAGGGGGTGCTCTCTGAAGGATGGGAGGCTGCGTACATGCACATGAGACTGAGGGAGGAGAGAGCATCACTGCCTCCTATGGGGGTATTACTTTACGTCTGTACATCAGTGCGCCTCCTCCTACTGCATACTGTGTGATGGAGACTTTCTGTGGGTTGGGGAATTGTCAGAATGCAGCAAAACCTTCTTAGTGACAAAGAGGAGGAGGAGATGCAAGGTTAGAAACTTCTCTTATGTAATACAGTCTTTAATCTTAATACCTTCAGTGTTCAGTGTTGCTGCGGTGTTTTTGATGCTGTTGTCCCACAGTGGTGTGTTTCTGCCTCAGTTCTTTGTCATTACTGTCCTCTGCACTGTTCTCAGGCTGTAGATGCTGCACTTGAGGGTTCTCTCTCTCTCTCTCTCTGTCTCTCTCTCTCTCTGAACGTTTCCTGCTTCACTGCAGCTTTTGAGGAAACTCAAACACATCACATTTGTGATTTTATGTTATGTCGTGTCATGTCATGTGGATGCAGGAGCTGGAGAGCAGCGTAGAGGGATGGACCGATGATCTCACTTCCTTGTTTTTGCTGAGGGACTCCTTGGAAGGCGTGGTCAGTGCCGATGACATCACTGTACTACAGGAACGCCTCCAGCTGCTACAGTGCCAGTGGGAGGAGGTCTGTCACCAGGTGAGAGTCAGATTCTTTAAATCCTCTGTCCCCGACAACTTTTGCGACCTGTCTTCTTACATGTGTGCGTCCTTCCCTCCTTCTCCTCAGCTCGCCCTGCGTAGGCAGCAGGTGAGCGAGAAGCTGAACGAGTGGGCCGTGTTCAATGAGAAGAACAAGGAGCTGTGTGAGTGGCTGACACAGATGGAGAGCAAGGTCTCGCAGAACGGAGACATCGGCATCGAAGAGATGATCGACAAGCTGCGAAAGGTGACTTCCCTGGAACCTGTATGATGATGTGTATATAACATATAGACTTTAAAATAACTAGGTTTGTCCACTGACTTCACCAGTGGTCGTGTCACTGGTTTTGGGCCCTGATAAGTTTGGTTCATCTCTGTCAATGAACACTGACTATATGTGAAAATGGTGATCCGTCTATTTCTTATCTTCAGTCCATGTTCTCACACACTGGTTACTTCGACTACACTGACAGCCTTGTGTCCTCCTCCTCTGTGTTTTGTTCCAGGACTACCAGGAGGAAATCAGTGTGGCTCAGGAAAACAAGCAGCAGCTGCAGGTCATGGGCGAGCGTCTGGCCAAAGCCAGTCAAGACAACAAGGCGGCCGAGATCAAGCACAAACTCAGCAAAGTCAGCGAACGCTGGCAACACCTGCTGGACCTCATCGCTGCCAGGTGGGGGCAGAATTTTCATCTAAACAAGTGGCGAATGTGGTGCAAACTTACTTTGTCATTGTGTGAACTGAGGTTTCTGCTCTAGTATTACTCCTCCTAGTGGTGAAAAGTTCACACTGGTGAAGGCATTCCTTTGGCCGTGATTTGTTTTCACAGCAACAGTTCCAACTCTGTCGAACATGTAAAGAAGAATTCATTCTCCCACAGAGTTGCTGAGACATTTCCTGAGCTCGTCAATGCTGTGAGTGGCTTTTCTCGAGTGTGTGGTCTCATGTGGACAGCTGTTCTTTCTTTGTCACAAGTATCAGTCTATAACTGAAGAGCGAAGGCAAGTAAGTCAGAGGTTTGAAGAGTTCTTCTGCACAGAGATAAAAACTTCTGGATTATCTGGTTTTCACTCACGTTTATTCACATACAGTTTGTGCTGCTGTTCACACTCCCTCGGTGTGTATTCAGTGTGTGTATTCAGTATGTGGTATTCCAGCTCAGGCCAGCTCTGCAGCACATGCCTCTGACTGTACTGTCTCTTTTTAGAAACACTTGCCCCCTCCACACCACCTCCCTCCCTCCCTCTGACACACAAACACACACACTCAGGCCTGCTTGGAGTCCTCTTTTTTTTTAAACAGCAACAGTTGATATAAGTCACAGTTGTGCCGCCCCACCCCCTACCTGCTGACCCTGCCCTTTCTGCACAGACAGACTTCAGGAAAAGCCCAGTGTGGCAGTTTCACATGAAAGACAAGAGTGTTTGGATCGACACCGTAGGACTTCCTGACATTTGAAGTTGTCTGTGGGAATTGCACAGTCCCATGGTTTTGGATTTAGGGACGGATAATATGGCAGGATGCCCCGACGAGGAGTATCTGCCAGACTGCGACTGCGATGTCAACAGGCAGGATACACTTGATAATTTATGTGGAAGTTGTTGATGTGGTGGTGGTTGTTTAGCCGTGTGTTTTCCCTGTTTAGGGTGGAGTACAGTAGGTGTAACAGGCTACACAGTGAAGTGGAAATAATACACAGTTGTTTCACTGTGCTGCAGCATGATGCTGCTTGACATGTATGGAAGTATTACTGTGGGTGGTTTAATCTTTTCTGTAGCAAGAAAAATATAATCTCATATTTTGTATTTTTTGTTGTTGCTGATTTAGGTATAGTTCTAAAGATTAGCTGCTGTCTTCATTCTCACTCAGTAGGTGCTAACTATGTAGACTGTTGTGAGAGCTGGATGTTTATGTTATTTCAAAATGTGACTCACATATTAAAGATCGCATGGGTCGGAATGAGGAAATGTCTGGCATCCATCTGCAGACCCAAAGTGGTTCCCAGTTGTTGTCTCAGGGTCATTTTAGGTTCCGTCACGTCCCAGTGTTCCAACAGAAATATATGAACTGTAGTGAAATGATATTTCTCCATACTCGCGTTACTGCTCTGCACTATTTGGGTGGACGTGGCGTTCAATGACTCAGTGGTTGTTTTGTTCATGCCACAGTACTTTTCTGGTTTACATCCTTTTTTCTTAGATGTGTTCTATGTTTTTATGTTATTCAATTTGTCACAAAACATTTTTTTAGTTAAATGTTTCAAATGCATAATATGTATTTTTTTGGTTGGAGTCGAAGAAAGGAGGTTTTTTTTTTTTTTTTTTTTGACAGGAGGTTTTTTTTTGTTTGTTTTTTTTATCAAACTCTGTTTAATCAACAGGGTGAAGAAGCTGAGGGAAACCCTGGTGGCCGTGCAGCAGTTGGATAAAAACATGAGCAGCCTACGTTCATGGCTGGCCCACATCGAGACAGAGCTGTCCAGACCCATCGTCTATGAAACCTGTGACGATGCCGAGATTCAGAGGAAACTCCACCAGCAGCAGGTAGGTACAGCCTTCACAGACAGAGCTGTGATGTAGGAAAAGACAAGTGGGAACATTTATGTAGGTCATTTTTCCTTTAAACGTTAATAAATGCACCGTAAACTAGAGTAAGAATCAGAAAAACGCTGACTCAAACAGGGATGGATAAAAATTCCGTGGCGCTCTTGAGGAAACCAGAGCCTGACTCTAGAGCATGGCTAGTTCTCTGCTAGTATCACTGAAGATGCTGCTGCTCTAAATCTGGACCAGGAGGACCCACTGACCTCCTTTACACAGGCATTTAGGGGCCATAAACTGCAGACGCTCCAAAGAAAACAGAACAGAAAATGTGATAAATATGCAGCTTTGACTAGTAATTCTTGATGATTTCCAGGAGCTGCAGAGGGACATCGAGAAACACAGCACCGGAGTGGCATCTGTGTTGAACCTGTGTGAGGTCCTTCTCCATGACTGTGACGCCTGCTCCACAGAGACTGAGTGTGACTCCATCCAGCAGGCCACCAGGGGGCTGGATAGACGCTGGAGGAACATCTGTGCCTTGTCCATGGAGAGGAGGCTGAAGTTTGTGCCTCATTAATGAATTTACACACATTTAGTTGCATTTAATACTAGTTGTCCCACAAAGTACAAAATTGATGTTCAACATGTTCAAAATCCTATTTATTTTCTTTTTTTTCTTGTGTCCAGGATTGAGGAGACGTGGAGGTTGTGGCAGAAGTTTCTTGATGACTACTCCAGGTTCGAGGAGTGGCTGAAGACCTCGGAGAGAACAGCAGCTCTGCCAAACTCCTCTGGAGTTCTTTACACCGTCGCTAAAGAGGAGCTGAAAAAGTTTGAGGTGTGTCTGTTTCACACATTTATGTCAGAATGTGGACTCAGCTGCCTGTGCACTGATCACATGCACACTACAAACAGGGACATGGGAATCTTGAAGATCTTTTTGTGTGTAGTCAATCAGATTACAAGATAAGAAAGTTAAATCTCTTCGAGTGAGGAAACGACTGAACTTCAATAACTGGGGAGAGTCTCTGCAGGACAGAGGCACCAGACAGAAAGAGACAAGTGTCATGTTACTAAATCTCATGTGCACGTATCTGTTCAGCTGCCACAGTCCATTACTGTGCACGTGCACATTCCTGGTGGCTCGTTCTCTGTACTTTAGGCCACTACCATCTGTCCTGCTGGTGACAGATTCACAATAAAAATTTTGATTTTTATACATTTCATTTTTCCACAAACTGCAGGATTCCAAAACTTGTAGCTGTAGTCCAATTATTTTCCATCTGTGCATGGATGTGTAAACACAAGCTGAGGTCTGTTGGTAACATTTTTTTTTTCATTCCCAGGCGTTCCAGCGTCAGGTGCAGGAGTTTCTCACTCAGCTTGAGCTCATCAATAAACAATACCGACGTCTGGCCCGTGAGAACCGCACTGACTCGTCCTGCCACCTCAAAGAAATGGTGCATGATGGGAACAAGCGGTGGGATAACTTGCAGAGAAGAGTAGCTTCCATCTTGAGGAGACTCAGGGTATGTTACATGTTGGACGTTGGTTTTGACAACATGGAATTATCAAGTGTTTTGGTTAAAAATAGAATATATATTTACATGATTACACGCAGCACTTCATCGGCCAGAGGGAGGAGTTTGAGACGTCACGAGACAGCATCCTGGTGTGGCTGACGGAGATGGACCTTCAGCTCACAAACATCGAGCACTTCTCTGAGTGTGACGTTCAGGCCAAAATAAAACAGCTCAGGGTGAGAAAAACATCATGGAGAAATTTGGTGCAGTTTTATGGTGAAAAATCCAAATATTAACAACTTTATAATTTGTGTCGTGTTCAAATTCCAGGCTTTCCAGCAGGAAACAACTATTAACAACTGTTTATAACTTGTGTCATGTTCAAATTCCAGGCTTTCCAGCAGGAAATCTACCTAAACACAGGGAAGATTGAGTTGGTGTTCAGGCACGGAGATGCTCTGATAGAGAAGAGCGAACCTCTGGATGCCGCCGTCATCGAGGAGGAGCTGGAGGAGCTGCATCGATACTGTCAGGAGGTGTTTGGACGTGTGGACAGATATTACAAGAAGCTCACACGTCTGCCTGTGAGTAGAGACATAAAATCTCTTACATGAAAAACACAAGCTGTAACAGACAGGTTTTATAGAGGGAATGAAATGTTCAACCAATCTTTGTCCCTTTCATCCACCTCTTCTGACTCATCTATATTTCTGTTCTTCTCAAACAGCTGGTGGACGATGATCTGGACAGTTCAGACAGGGAACTTGAAGTTGAAGAAAGCACTGACCTCTCTGAACTCCAGTGGAGCGACTCCTCCCTGCCGCGCACGTCCAGCCGGCAAGCCATGACTGCTGCTGTCCTCATACGAGCCGACCGCTCAGGACGGGACACTCCGGCCAGCATGGACTCCATCCCCTTAGAGTGGGACCATGACTACGACCTAAGCAGGGATTTGGAGAGTCCAGGAGGAAGAGAACACGGAGAAGGGAGCAGAAGTCAGCAGGAGGACGAGGATGAGTATCTGAGGACGGATGGAACAGTGCTGTCAGGTTGGTCTGATTTAACCTGGTGAAGAGCACTTTTATCTCTTATCTTGTTCATGCTGACTTTTGTATCTGAAATGATATAAGATAAGGGATATTGTCATTTAAAGATTTTTTTAAACCAATTAAAAAAATGAAGCTCAATGTAAAACCTGATTAAGACATTTAGATTGGACAGATCTACGAGTCATTCTTCATATTTTTAGCTTTAGGCTAGAGATGAGCACACACCTGGATTTTAAACCATCAACTTCAGCCATAAGCTACACCAGGGCGTCAGTCATTTTCTTAGATAAATACGGCTATCACCTTCATGAAGACCACATTATCACCAATGAACTTTGTGTTTCTATTCCCAGATGTAGTAATCCCAGAGAGCCCAGAGGCCTATATTAAACTGACTGAGAACACACTCAGATCCTCTGGTAGGCAGCAGCAGCAGCAGCAGCAGCAGCAGCAGCAGCAGCAGCAGTAGTTTTCTGATTGCTGCCACAGCATGCATTTTAACATTGTCATTAGCTAAATAACTAAACCAGCTCTTCAATCACAACTTCACTAGCACCATTAATCCAACCTGCATGAACCAACCGTCTCAAACAGCCTTTTCTCATCCCCCTCACGGTGATGACTCCACTGCATGCTTGTTTAATTCAACTGTGTTTTGTTTCTTATTTTCGTTGCTAACGTCTCTACATTTCTTTACGTAAAAGTTGATTTCCGTGTTCCTCTGTGACATCATGTCATCTTATTTTGCTTTTCAGATAAATGCATGTAATCAGTGCGTCAGTCCACACTAATGATGAACTACCCCACAGATTTAGAACAACTGTGACTTGTTGTGACCTTGGTGTGTTGTGTGTAGGTGAGCCAGGTCAGCTGGAGGCCAGTCTGAGGCAGCTGGACCAGGCTCTGGACGCAGGGCGATATCAACTGCAGCAGAGAGAGGCCACCGCCAACAACTCCAGCCCCGACATCGACTCCACCTACATGGGCTACGTGAGCGTTTCTGTCTTTTAGTATCCATTTTATTACACATCACATTTAGCTTTTTCTGCTCATTGGAGAAATCCTGCTAATTCAAAGACACACCACATTCATTGTAAAAATGACATATGGCTTTATAACATTGCAGATGCGTCTGATGGGAGAGTGTCGAGGCAGCATAGACGCCGTGAAGAGAACAGAGGAAGAGCTCACTGAAGACGAGGATGAAATGCCCGGCCTCAACAACCCTATCAGCACAGACTCTCAGAGCTCTGGTCAGTTACCAATGAGGACAAGCGTCGTTGTCATTGAAAACAACTGCCTTAATTATTACAGTAACAGTCTGTAACTGTTGTGTTCTAGGTGTTATCGAGCGCTGGGAGCTGATTCAGGCTCAGACCCTGAGCGAGAAACACCGGCTCAAACAAAACCTGCAGCAGTGGCAGCAGCTGATCTCAGATCTGCAGAACATGAGCACCTGGCTGATTCAGTCTGAGGTCGAACTCGGTCAGCTGCGAAAACTTGCGCGCAGCACAGACATACACTGCATCCATCAGAGAATCAAGAAGCTCAAGGTTGGAGTCTTACACACACACATCTGTGTACATGATGTATTATAAAACACAGGACAGTGTCTGTGTTTTGTGCTGTACATTCTAAGCAGTTCTGTGCTGTTTCGTGTGTTCAGGAGCTGCAGAAGGGAATGGATGCCCACAAGTCCCAGGTGTTGTCCATCAACCTGAGCAGTGCGGACTTCCTTCAGTCAGCGCCAGACTCAGAGGAGGCCTGGGAGTTGAGGGATGCACTGAAAGACATGAACTCGCGCTGGGATTGTCTGGGTACCTCACTGGAGCGCTGGAGAGAAGAGCTGCAGAGTGCACTGTTGCAGTGTCAGGTACAAAATCACACTGTAACAGAAACATGTTTTCGATGGCGTTTTCTTCCTGTATGATCCTGGCACTCACATCATGTTTCCTTGTAGGAGTTCCATGAGCTCAGCCATGGTCTTCTACTGTGGTTGGAGAACATCGATCGTAGAAGGAACGAGGTGGTGCCCATACCTCCAAAAATAGATCGTGATACCTTACGAGCTCATCACAAAACACTGACGGTAGTTTGTGGGGTTTTTTTAATATTATTTTAGGCAATTACATTCCCATCACAGACCAGTAGTAAGGCTCACAAACTGGTCACAAATAGAAAGTGAAGTTTCTTAATTATCCCAAACTTTTCTTCTCTGTCATAGATTTTGAGGAGTTTCTCAAACAGATAGAATTTCTGAGAACATAGATTAAAATTTTTTTAACACATAAAGACAAATTTTCAAATAAAGGCTGTACAAATTAAATTGGTTTTAAATGATTTGAAACATGTTTGATTGATTAATTTGCAAAATAATAAACTGTTCTTTTAAAAGATTGCAGTAATTAAAATGTTAAATTTCTACATTTAAAAATTTGAATTGTCCTATTTGTAATTTCTCAAGTCTCTTGACTTCACACTCTTGACTTTCTGTCTTCTTCAGCAAATTAAGCGTGAGCTGCTGGACTCACAGCACAAGGTGTCATCTCTTCAGGAGCTCTCAGCTCAGCTGCTGGTCACCACCAAACCTCAGACTCTGCTGATGCAGTCAGAAACCTCAGAACAGATCAAGCCCCTGGCCACCGAGTGTCTGGAGGCTCAGGAAAAAGTGCATGTGATACAGAACAGACAGAGACTTCTTTTAAGGGAGGTCAACTCAGACCTGGAAGGACTAGAACGGAGACTAGAGGCTGTGGATGTACAGCAGGTGAGAGAGGACTTGAATCAGACAAAACTATTTCTTATTTCTCCTCTGAATATTTGGCCTGTTTTTCACCCTACTCACCCTTTTTCTAAGTTCAAAAGTCTGACTGTTGTTTTGTTTTAGGAATCATCGCTGGTGGCTTCTGTCAAACCTGAAGCATCTGCTGCCACTGTACCAGAGGTGGCCATGGACAGTCATAGGCGACTGGTAATATTTTCTGTCATTATGACCAGCAGGGGGCATCTTTGTGGTCGAGACAGCAGAGGGACCCATCAACTGCTGTCATTATGCTTTCTCCCTTCCCCTCCCACTTCATTTTTATAAAAGTTAAAAATAGTTTTCCTTTTGCAGCAGCTCTTCTACCATGTACATAAAATGAAATAGTTTGTGCTCCCTCCCCCTTCTGTCCTTGAGATGTTTTTGCTGCCCCCCAACACCATGATGATCTGCTAAAAATCGACAAGAAAAGCTGGCTTTTCGTCTCATGTACCACAGCACCTTTGTAACAACTCCACCAATTATGTATTTTTTAGAAAAACAAAGCATGAGAACCAAAGATTATTTGTTTAAAAAAGCCCACATTTTCCACACTTTCACACAGGTTTTGTCTTGAGAAGCCAGATTTCTTGGTTATAAAAAAAAATCAATCACTGTCATTGATTATGTTGCTGCTCTTTAGTTGATGATGATTCTTTCTGCAGCAAAGTTATGGCTCTTTTTTGCGTTGTTCTTTTTTCTCTCATCTGAAGCTTAGTCTTAATTTTGCCCTTGACTGAAACATTCTTTTTCTTTCTTTTACCCACTCCCCTGCTCATAACGTCGTACAGCCCCGAGGCAAAAGTAGTCAGGCCCACCTGGGACACCTTGAAAGCGGCCCGCGCCACAGGTACCTTTCTGATGGACTCCAGAAACATGGGATGCTGATGGAACGAGAGCTAGGGCAAAACAGAAGCTCATTGAATCAAGCAGTTAATCACAATTAGTCCTGTTTTCACTATTGGACTTCTAAAAATCAATACCTGCTTCAGGCTCTTACCCTGCGTTCCATGATCCTTCCTGATTCTAGAGGCCATGTTGATCAGCTTTTTGAACATTTTGGGAATCGCCTTCATCAGGCAGCTCCTTTTGCACCATTGAATGTTTTATATCACTGCTCTTCTTTGCCTTTCTTTTCCTAATCCTCCAGCAGCATGAAATATTCCCTTGTCATGTGTTTGGTTTCCTCCTTCTCACTGTGAAAACCCTTGTTGTCCACTAGATGGCAGCATTTCAATCTGACAGAGACGCCACGTCCATCCATTTAGCTCAGTTTCCTTCTGTTTTTTTTGTTTGTCTCATTCTGTCCAGAGTTTGGAAGACAGGGTTTGACGTCCTTTTTTACTTTACTTTTATATATTTTTTTATAGACATACAAATGATAAATTGCACCAATTTTATAGACATACAAATGATAAATTGCAGATACTTCAGCTTAAACCTAAGCTAAGCCCCACTGTTATCTAAGAGATGGTTGAATTTCCCACAGTTATCTGAAAACTATTTTGGACATATCTGAAATATTTGGTCAGAAGAAGGAACAGGGAATGAGACAGAGGGAAGGGCGGCTGAAGGGAGGTCAGTTTGTCCGACCTCCCTTCAGCCTCTGTGAGGATGAGCCTCGGCTCAGAACATGCCATTCTTCCTCAGGAGTCTGGGCTGGAACACAGACGAATCTCCATAGCGGCAGAGATTTGGCATTTCTCCTGCTTCTGTTTGGATTGAAACGTGGCATTGAACTCTCACACACTCGCCTCTAAATCCACAGCTCTCCCCCTCTTCTCCTTTTCCCCGTGAGAGTCTGTCGACAACTCACAAACGCTTGCCATTACAGGTCTTCTCTTAGTGTGTGTTCTGCCTGTTTGTGTGTGTTTAATGTTGTGATCTTGGTCTAATCTCTCCCTGCTTTTTCCCTTTTTATCAATGTTTTCATTCTGTTTTGTGATGAGTAACACAGTATTTGCAAATAACCCTAAACAGTTAAATTAGGACTTTGAAATTAAACAATTACAATTACATGTTCACCAACACAGCATGATGCGTGTAAATTTAAAGTTTAATCGCACGATACAGCATTTTATTTGTTTTACACTATCATAAATATTTTCCCTAC